GCTTATGTAAACATGCTTTGCAAAAGTTCACAGTGAAAACACCACCACCAACAACAACATGGACAGATAACTGAAAAATTTTGATCAAAAAAGCTCATCTGAGTTCAGGTGAGCTGAGGAGTGAAAAAATGACCAGCATATATCATAGCAATTGATGAAAATTCTCTATAAAAATTCTTACTTTTATCTGATGGTTTTGCCTTTCCTGTCTTTGATACACTTGGTTCCTCTTTGAACTCTGCAGCAAACTCATCTAAAGAACAGATGAAACATACATGTATATCAAAGTCTCTATTCATACTTAATCATCACTTCTATTTCTATCATTTCAATTTAGATACAACTTAAAAAGACCAAATGTTTTGCCACCTTTTACAAGTCCTAGTAATTATGTTTTGCTTCTTGTGTAGAACTATCATAAATTCATATAAATCCTGAATTCTAAACTACAATGTTTATCAAAATACAATACTAAAACCTATGAATATAGAAATAACCTCCCCTTAACACTAATTCCGCCTACTCACCCTCCTCTTTGTTTGTCAGTAAATCCTCGATTTCTGGGTCTACCTCAGGGCCAGCCTTGCCTTTTTTGCCCTCTTTGGTGACACTTTTGACCTCCTTTGTTTTCTCCCTACTGTCTTTGTTTTTCTCTTTTGTCTTTTCTTTCTTCTCTGTTGACAGCTGTCTTTTACTCTGCTTCTCTTTTTTATCTACATGAGTCTCTTTCTGGGGGTCATTGTCTTTTGCCTCTGCTTTTTCTAATTCTTTGGATTTCTGTTGGTCTGCAAGAAGTTGAAAATAATACGTAATCATAATTCTGCAGAATCACAATTTCTGTTCAATCAATGGGTAGAAAATCATGCAGATTTCTTGGATTGCCTTTGTATATCTTAATACTACCAAACTTTAAGTTGTAATGAAAAATTTGAGTCCGTCTGTCTGTGCAACATGTAAGATGCAATTTTCTTACAGAAAAATTGAATACTGTACACATCTACATGACCTACACGTGTGTCATAATTCTGCAGAATCACAATTTCTGTTCAATCACTGGAAGAAAAATTTCATAATTCGCAGGTCCATATCTTGGATAAACTTTGTAGGTTCTCATTTCACACAAAGATTGCCCATAACCCAAGGGTGTGTCATGACTTGACCCAAGTTTTGACAAGTTTTGGAAGAAAAATTTCATAACATGTGACCCTGTCAGTGTTCACAATGTAAAAGTGATTCCTATATACCAATGCTTAAAATACAGTGCTGATTGCATTTGTACTGATAAAACATACCTGATCCAAGACTTTGAAGTTTTTTCAACAAAATGTGCAACCTGAAAATTCAAACAATAAGAAAAATATAAAAAGATACACAGTGTATAAAGATAAAAGATTTATATTATAAAACGCAATTCCAGCTGATTTTGTGCACATCATCTAAAAAAATATTCTGCAAACTTCAACATTCAAAGACTTATAGAATACAAAAGGTAACTGTAAAATAGAGTAATCAATTTTAATATTTAAAATAAATGACACAATTTGAATGAGCTGCATTTGAAATACCATAATGTGAACTTTTCTGTGTTGTGGCTTAGGAACAAATTGAGATCACTGTTCATCTGTTTCTCCGTCTTTTTATTGGCAATCATAACCATAATGTAATCAGGGAGTTCATCATCTTAAAAATAAATATCTAAATTTATTACCTTTCTATATTAATGGCCTCCAAAAATAAACCAATAATGGTCAAATAAGTACTGAATGATAATATTATGAACTGGTACCAAAAAACTTGTTGTAATGAAAATTATTAATTAATGAAATCAATATAAAAAATTATTATACTATTAATCATCCATACATTTTCATTATAACCGTTAAAGTAAAAGATACAGTATTAAAGGTTTTATTTAGTATTTAAACTCAATGTGAGATGTACAAATGGAGTGGTATACAGATCATCTATCAAGTGCAAGTTTTGCTGGTCAATTACTGTAAATATACATTTGGTCCAGAAATTCTTAGTTAAAAAATATGAATATGCAGTTACACAACAATGCACTTAAGCAATATCCTGGTCCCCTGTCTCATCCTTGCCAAGGCAAATAAATATTGATGTAAGAACAATGACACCATTGCCCTTAACCACGGAAAGAAAAGTTGACGTAAGAATGACACATTACATCGAAAACGTGGTAAAATAGGACGTCACAATGAATGTCTTCACTGGCAGCACAGCTATTTCAACGTCTTGGTAAGGATCAGCAGTGCCATGTATCTAATTTCACATGGTCATGGAGTATACAAAACATAGCAGGAACAGAGAACCAGGCTAACTTCAAAAATTGCACTGTCAACATATTAATTTAAGGTAGATGATACTAAGGCAGATTTAACTCTATCAACTTTGCCTTGATTGCTAACTAAAAATTAAAAAAACCCCGTATTTTATTATAATGAACATCTACATATACCACCTGGCCCTTCGATATAGACCCCTGGGCACGTATTTGTGATATGATATACAAAACATAACTACCCTACATTCTCTATATAAAAATCAACAAGGTTGACTCCAGAGAACTAGGCTAACTTCATATACCCAAATATGTGTGTAAAATATCAACAATATATATATTCTTGTTTTTTTGTACGAATTCTTCATCAAAATTTTATTTTTTAACGTTTTATAGATTTACACAAATATTTAAGGAAAAGAAGATATTTTTATAAATTGTATTTTTAAAAGGGCATAACTCTCACATGCAAATCAGGTATTTAAAAAATAATGAGAGACATTTCATTTGCATCAGCGCTTTAGAACTCTTTTCTCCCAATACATTTAAAAGAATTTTTTAAAGTGTATAACAACCAAATTTCTTCAAAAGTTTACTTCAAAACAGTGTCTCAGACTTTCTGCAAAATTGTGTATTTTGGTAAAAAGTCGTCTCCTCGTCACTTCCGTTCACTAAGCTGAAACGCTGACTGTAGCTTGACATCCTTTCGAAAACTTGGTCATAACGACTGTTAAAGTGCCTTAACCTTCATGAGAGTTGGTGGTTAATGAAAAGAATATTCAAGCTACAATATGATTTGTTGATTTTAGGGGTTTGTTTAGATTTATGAGACGATTCAACCAAAATTCTCGGAAGTGCCTCTCGGATTGCAGACGAAGTTGGCAACCTTGTTAATTTATATATAGAGAGGGTAGATATTTTTATAAAATGTAAGTTTACGCAAATTTTCTGAATTGATAGGATAGATAATATCACAAATGTGTCATCCATATATAATTTATGTGAAAAAAGTCTAACAGGCCCGGGGGTCTATATTAAGGGGGTGCGGGGGTCCTATCCTCAAGCACCTGTGACATATACATCCGAATGTATGCAATCAACCAAATGAATTTATTACTTACACTATTGACTAAAAATGCTAATTATAGCCGTCATCATCAGACAACAGTGCATAAACAAAATAGAGGAATTTCGGATTGATCTTGTATAATTTATGTAGTACATTTTGCAAGAACTGCACAATTGATAATTTGATAATATCAACTAGAATATATTTAGCATAAACATATATTATTTTTACCCGAATTTTATGGCTAATATCTTTTCCGTGATCCATTGCCGACAGGACGACGAAAAAGTTGTGAAAGGAATAGTGAATACTGAACCCGATATGAAAATAGTAAGAACAATTATTTTTATGAATGATTAATTATTACGTTTATAAGTCGATTCACATTTTATTCAGTATTGTTAGTATACAATTTATAAATTAGCTGGTATACTAATTCCAGCGAAATATTCCCATTTTAAAAAATACCCCCATTTCATCTCGGGCTCAATAGCCCAATATTTCGACTATTTTTAACTTCAATTTTAGAGAACAACAATCCACGACACAAGCAGGATGGTTCTGTTAGAAAACGACACGGTATCTATCTTTGAACATAAATAGTTAAAAATTTTGAAAAATGTTTACTTTTAATTTGAACTCTATGAACTGACTCACGTTGACACACGATTAACATGTTTTTTTTTTTAGTTTCTGACGGAACTTACTAAGTTATTTCAGAAGGGAAGGACTTCAGGGTCAATATCTTTAACAATGAAGAGGTGTAAGTAAACATTTAGGAATAGTATGCATGGTTTTTGTTATCATATAAATTATACAACAATACATTAAACAAACGAAAAGACAACATGGGTGAACCCTCTAGTTCTGTGATGGTAATGTTTTGGTGTTCCATATTGTACATCATGTACATAAATGATAACAAGTTGCTGTCCTTTAAAAAAGTACTGAAATACGTGGACCATATGCATGTGTTTCTATATACAAAATTGAATTTTTAAAGAAAAATCTAGGTGTAGTGAATATTCATGTAGGTTTGTTCACATCATTTTCTAACTGATTGTAGTCTCAAAGCAAAATTGTTTAATTTTATTTATTACTGAACCTTTAGATTTTCACCTGCCAAAAATCGGGCTATTTTGATACATGTAACCCATAATGACTGGGACTTGACACCTGTTCTGGATTTATACGGAATAAATCTATCATGGGAAAAATATTATAGATCTGATGGTACACGTGTAGCACAGCTCTGTAGTACGCAGATTTTTTTGTCGTCATAGAGCCCCACAGGCTCTACGACATTGACATGGTTCTACTTCGGACATTAAAAACTGTTGCTACAGACCTCTATTAGATGTTATTTGGATTGCTGAAATAGCAAATCATTTTTTTAGCCTTGATGCATAAAACTAAATGCCAGGCTGAAAACTTATTTTATCGTTTAAAAGCTTTAACTAGTCGTTTTTCATTCAAGTTGTCATGTTACACGTACACTACTTTTATATATACTGCAAGTTCTTCCTACTTTTTGAAATGCTTGTGCCATAAAACATGTAGAATCAATGTTTAGTTTGTGTATAAAAGAATATGTATAAGAGAGAAATTCGGATCTGCCAATGAATATATAAATGCGATATGCGCTATTCGCCAATAAATGGCATATTCTAATTCGAATAGGGCGAATTATTCTACGGGCAAGTTGCTTAAGGTGCGAACTCTCTTAGCATTCTCGCGCATGCGTAGCCTGTCGTTTGCCCATGGCATCCTTTTTAACCTCGCTTATATATTTACTGCGTTATATTTTTGACTCCTTGAAAATCACAGATTGGGAGCACATTTTTCTATTAATTGTTCCTTTATCTGTCTATATACAAAAAATAATCTGACTTTTTAGCCACAGAAGGTCATTCTCGCAATGCCAGGGGTCCTGAGTCAACATGTTGCCATTAGACCCCTGGCAAATTTCATTTGGTATTTTATGGCTTGTTTTTCTCTTATTGAGAAATACAAATCGAACTGAAGCTTTCATGAAAAGTTAGATTAAACAGGTAGGATTTAGTTGTCATCTCAAATGCATGTGTAACAAGTTATACTTGAGTGTTTATTGGTTGAGAGATTAAAAGAAAAGTCAAGATTTGTTTCTGAAATATTTTGCTACATTCAGCCCATGAACTACTGAATGAAATTTGCCTGGGGTACAATGGCAACCGGTTAGAATAATCTAACTTAGTCTTGGGACAAACCCTCAACACAGTTAGAATATGTCCCATATACATAATATACTTGTATTCTAAACAAATCTAGTGGATCCGCTCCAAAATGATTTCGACGATGATTTTTTAAAAATTGTATATGCCTTGAATCCCAAAAACTAATTAATATAAAGACAAAAAAAAATTCTCAACTAATTTTTTTCTTACTTCAAATTTACATGCCCTGTTTACATTCAGAACTCTCTGGATTGTTCGTAGTAAAAGCACTGAGTACAAGTTATCTCCTATTTTTATTTTGCTACATTGCTTATACATGGAAAAAATTCTCTCAGTAAACTGGGTCTGTAGGACAAATTCATACTAACAATAGAACATTCTAATTAAATGATAACATGAGTCAGGTCCCTGGTATTGCATTAAATGATTTGGCATACATACTGTAGTCACGGTCATAATTCCGCGGTAATTTCCGTTTAATCCGCGGGTAGTGAATTTCTCAGACTGTCTCTATATGCCTTACATTTACATTAAGTACGCTTGGCATATATATTCAAAAATTAATACCACGCGGAAAAAAGTTTCTAATTCAAACATTTAATTTAAATTATTGCCTTTTCAGATGCATAATAATAACAAAAGGAGACCCTGTATTTATCTAAAGTTATTTCTAAATGTGAAAAGATTGATAAGATCATAATTTTGACTCACAAAGAAAGGAAAAGAATATGAACTCTCAATCTGCTTGTAAATAAAATGCTTATCTAAAATCGCAATCCTTGGCAACTTAATAGGCCCCAGTTGATAAAGTTGAGTACCGGTAGCTGTCGCCAATAGGAGCATCTCAGGTATCTGGAGTAGTTTACTGTATTGTTGACAACATTACTTTTTCTTTTTAATCAAAATTTTTTTTTTCAGATATTTTTTAATTAATATATCTTTAAATGGCTTGCTTAGAAAAGTGCAAAGTGACAAAATTAAATCAATCTGTTCAGTTTATTGAAGTCAAGAGACATACATCTCATAGACAAAATTATTTTTTACAATCACAAATTTTAACACATGTAAAAATAAAATAAACATACAACATATGTGTACAAAACATATAATATTTTCGATAATTTAGACAAAGAAATTAATTTCTTTAGAATAATGAATATATCAGCCCTGTTCCTCCATTAGTAATGAAATTATTGGGAAGGGTCATTAAGTTATTTCATTACCATAAAAGCCTGTGATTCCTACTCCATATAGGCAAAAACAGACTTCATATTTTCAAATATCAATGCCTGCATGAATACTGTAGTATATGAATGAAAAGGGAGAAATTAAATGATCATAAAGAGCTTGTCCATAATTAAGTTTATTTTACTTTGTGTGCAAAAGAATATTGTCAGCAATCAACATTTTATTATCCAAACATGATCAGGACAAGAAATAAAAACTCATGACTGGGTATCTGTATATACTATACTCATTTTTTTATAGGTAAAAAAACTGTTTTTTTTATTAGGAAATTTCCATTTTTATCTTAGTACACTGTACTTTTTAGGGTCAATTATTGTACAGGGATAAACTTCTCAATTTTAATGACCAATAAAATATGGCTGAAATATTGCAGACTCTAACTGTTAAACAATATAAACCAGTCCATTTTATTGAGTAGTCATGACAATTTCATTTTCACAAAAGAGATATTGAGCTCTTAAACTTGTATTGATGTATGCGAATACTTTGACATAAATGTACTGTATGATACACATTGTTATATGTCTGCAGTTGCTAAAATGGTGTGTTAAACATGATCTTGTACACCGTGATCGGTGTCTTTGTCATAACTACATGTATTTAGTAGTTTTGTGACATCAGACTGGTATAATTAGTATACATAATATGGATAATATGAGCGCTCATGAAACACCCTAAATAATGTATTGGTACATGTACAACAGTCGCATTTTTTATGCAAAAATTCCCTAATTTTTATTATCAAAGCTAAAGGTTTACAATCACATATAGGCCATTCTACAAGTTGTACAAATATGCAGAAAATTTGTTAACACTATGACTAAAACTGAGACAATGAATTTGTGCAATGTCCCTTACTAGTTATACTGCACATGCTCAAAATCACAACCTCTATTACAACTAAAACCGTGTTTATATAATTGTACTCACTGGTCATATAACAATTTATGAATGTTTCAATTTCAAAGAAAATACCGTATAAGTGGAAATTATAGCGGGACACAAATTTAGCGATTTCTACCTAAAATCTGGTATTTGATTTTTAGCGAGAAGTAATTTTAGCGATTTTAAAATGCTAATTAAGAAGCTATTACAAATAATACGCAATAAATTTTTAGCAATATTTAATTTTAGCGATCTCAGCACCCTCGCTAATATTGCCAAAATTAAATCCTTGTTAAAAATTCTACTTATACGGTATCAAAGGTAAAAATCTATTGTAATAACATTTTTTGTGATACTTTCAAAATCTATTTTCCCATGCTTACTCTTGAAAATCTATTTGGCAAATTTTTATCAAAATTGTGGAATTAAAAGATTCTCCACTCTTTGGTCCAGCATTAAATTTTACGGTGGGATTTAGATGGACATCTTTTAGACATCTTCAAAGGTTTCTTTTTTGTGAATTGTTAAAGAGAAGCACTTGATTCCTAATAGTTTAGATTCCACTTAGCATAATTTTTTTGGAGATTTACAGTTCTGCAGCTGTTGTTGGATAATACTGATTTAACTGTATATGCCCCCTTTTGCCAATGTAAAAGATGATCAGTATTAAATTAAATTTTAGGGGGTATCAGTTACCATGTTTTATCCTCATCAAGCAAAGGTTTCCTTAGTAGATATTGAAGCCACAAGGGGAGAACAACAGTTGGTCAAATGGCCAAAATATTGCCTGACAGGTAATAAATAAAAATACCACCATTATTTTAAGTGAGATCAAAAATATTCTAGATGGTGGACACTATAAGTTTTGTAAATTTTTAGACAGCAGTGTGTTTAAGCTAAGAGTACAGTAACCTTTGCTACTACAGAGTGTTCTGAATTATTTGTACACGAGGAGTGGAACTGTGTGAGGATCACAAGTTTACAGTGTGAAAACTTTCGGATGAAGTAAAGGAAAATGTTTTAATTAAACAGCTTACAAGAGAGGATAGTTCATTGTGGGATTGTGGAGTTATTGAAGTCCCACACCTAGGGTGTGATAAATTTACCCTGTATATGATATAAAATAAACCAATGAATTGTATCAGTAGATAATGAGATCACAAATCACTCAAAAAAGTAACAGTATAGGTACTTCAACTATTCAGATTTCTGATTTAAAAGAAATACCATCAAAAGTATTAAAAATAAATACAGGGTATTTTTTTCTGAGGTTGAATGAAACAAGAACATTTACCAACATAAGTACATGAACTAACTAAGGCCATAAAATTTTTACTTTTGTCGGGCTGAGTAATGACAGACAGAGGTTCAAACAGTGTCAATAAAAGTATCTTTTAGTGATAATAAATGTTTGTATTAACTTACAGATGATGGAAGAACTAAGCCAGAACCCAGAAAAGGCAGTCTTCCTGAGCCTCATGAATATAAATGTTTACTAAGGGCCACATTAGGCAACAAAAAACTTAGCACCGTGGTGAGTAGTTTTTTTTTTAATGAATATTTAAGAAGACCTTAACAGTGCATAAAGCTGTTTATCACAAGCATTATTTTTTACATGTATTTGTACGTATTTTGTAAATAATAATATTAAATGCCTATATGCTTTTGTAGCAATTCTTTATTATACCCCCTTGAAAAGTGGAAGGGTATATAGTGATAAGGATGTCCATCTGTCTGTTACACTTTGGCCTTTGGGGTGCCCATCTCTTATTTGCAACTCCTCTTATACCACTGAATTAAATCTAATGAAACTTTCACACAATTTTTACATAGTGCCATTGTGCACCTCCTATTTTACTTTTTGATTCAACACTATTTTGAATTTCCCATAGCAAAACATGGACACTGCTATTCTTTTTACATGTATAATATTGAAGAGTGTCCATCCCTTATCCACAACTCCTCCTTTACCACTGAATAAAATTTAATGATACAGGTGCACTTTCACAATTTTTTTATTACATTACTCTTTGATCTGACTCTTATTTTGGGTCTCTCGGAGCAAAACATGGACTTAGCCATTGTAATCATATGGGAGGTGTGGGGTATCATTTAGTGAGGGAGATGCTGGGTATCATTTCGTGAGCTCAGTGCTCACAGTACCTCTAGTTTATTTGCATTTTGTTGTTAAAAACATTGATGTTTGGAGAAAATATATATTATAATTACAATAATCCTAATTAAAAGAACTCTGATGTCTCTAGCTTATAATGATTAAATTTTATCAGCATTGATTGATATGGGAGGTTTAAATGAGATGTTAGAACTGGTAAATAATGTACATTTGTAGCTGAAATTACATGCATATGGACAATTAACTTGGGATTGTTCTTTTTACAGATAAACCAAAAAGATGTTAACAAATTTCAGTTGGTAAGTACATCAAAGTTCAGTCAACTGGGCTAAACAAATGCAGTCATCACTAAATATTTATGTTTGTTATTTCATAGAAAACATAAGGGAAAAAAAAAACAAAGTAATTTAGTTTTCATTGTGCAATATTTCTTGCATCATAGTAAAATGAAGCGTATTTTCTGTTTTAAAGTAACTTCTTTCACTTGATTAATAAAATTAAACAAAATTAAGAAATTACAGGTTTGAAAATGTAATTATAATTTTATAAAGTTTTTAAATAAGTAGTCTGTGCCCGCCATATTTTCTGTTATATAAAGCAAAATTGTTAATTTTTGCTGGCATTAAGTTTTCAAAACCTTGGAAATTAAAGATTTAAAAAGAATATAAATTTACTGTATACAAGGAAATTTTTGCCTTGTTTTATTTTTTCACTATAATTTCGGTAGGGCAAATTTAAAAAGAGGCGAATAATAGTATAATTTCTTGACAAAAGTGTGACTGATAAATTGAAGATGGGGCAAAATTGTTTGACTGAAAGGGCGAAAATAAAGCAGGATAAACATAATCTTGTGTACAGTATATTTCAGATCATTTTAGATGGGTTGATATCCTCTATTAAGACAATGTAAGAATTACAAAAATATATATCTTATTAAAATAATGAAAAAGAATCTTTTGATGAAAGCTGGAGGCCATTGGACACTCACTCAACCATCTCTCTCGAAGAATATGTTTCTCTCTCTGTTTCTGTCCTTTTCTCTCTCTCTGCCTCAGCAGTTCTTTCTCTCTCTCATTCTCCTCTCTCTCTCTCTCAGTGTTTTTCCTTTAGTAAAAAGTTTTTCAAAAAGCAATAAATTATAAAAAAAAAAAAAAAAAAAGTATAATGATAACGGTTAAAAAAAAAAAAGTTAATATTTGTTTGTTTGTTGTTTGACACCACTCTCGAGAATTTTTTTTAACTCGTAAAGAGATACGAAGGAAAGGTGTTTAATAAAATATATATACATGTATATCTGACAAACAACAACGTAAGAAGAATATACTCTGTTCAAAATTTAAAAAAAAAAAAAAAAAAGTATATTTCAGATTTTTTTTTTCCACCCACATGACTCTTAATATTGAATTGTATATATGTATTGTTTGAATGTATATCAAGTTTGAATTTCATTTTTATTTCCAATAGGCTTATGCAAATCTCTTAAAAGGGAACATGGATGGATTGAAGAAAAAGGACAAAAAGGCAGCTGCTGCCAAATCAAAATCCAAGGCTACGCAATGAAAATGCATTTCATACCGACCTCTAGGCACTTTTGTCACATCACTCTTTCAATGTTGTACATCACCTGAACTTATCATTTTGTGTTATGCCATATTTAGTTATTTTGATGTATATAATAATACAAGTGGTCCATGTTTTAGTGAAAATCTGGTGCTTGTAAAGCTGGTGTCAGGCCACATATAAATTACTGAATATTTGGAGCACCTTTTAGGGTCAAGTATGTGTTTATACGATTACAAGATATTTGATGATCTAGTACAGTGGTTATTGCATGTATATGTACACAGCTGTTTATGTACTGTTCACCACATATATATAGAATTGTTTAAAAATCAGATGGTAAATATATGTATTATTGCTTAGGAGTTGAAAACAAGCATTTTGTATCATTTTTATTATTGTGTTCAAATAAATATGGAGATTTGTAATAAATAACCCAGAAGTAATACACTGGTTAAAGTTACATTTTCTAATATTTTTGAATAAAAACTTTTCAGAAAAGCATTGTTGTATTATTATGCGTTAAAGGAAGACCAGAAATATGCAAAAGAGGGAACTATATGAAGATAGCATTTGAAAAAAAAAAATATTTTATACATGAATTTGAATTGATGTAAAATTTGATATTTAAAAATTTGATTTATTTATGAAAGAAATTAAATCTGAGAGGTTTAAAACTTCCACAAAGGTGAAATTGCTTAATTTTAGTAGAAAATTCATTGAATATAATTTAGACCACTAATGGCTGCCTATTTATAAAAAAAATGACACAATTTTCTGGCTCACTGATTCATTATGATGTCATGAATTGTGTCATTTTTCCAAATGCCTGAAAAACTCAACAAAAATGGTTACTTTTTCAAAGTATTTTTCTATATTTTGTATAGAGTGCAACCTCTGATCTAAATCATGCAGTTATGTTTTTGAGGATTACAAAACATGTTTCATTTTGTGGATCAAACTCCTTCTTTACATGTTTCATTTTGTGGATTTCAAGGTTTTCAGTGTAGCACTTTCAGGAGAAAATTTTTAATATTTCTCTTACTAAAAATGTACACGATTTTTTAACTCATGTTTCTTAAAAATTCAAGAACATTTCAATTTTATAAAGCCTGTTTTCAAATAGTGTAGCTTTACTTTCAGGAGAAAATTTTTAATAGGAAATGAAAGCACTTATTTTGCAGTTGTTTTTTTTAGTTATCCTCCAGTGTAAGAGTTAATTTAAAGACATGATAAATTTTTTAGAAATGGAACATGAAAGAACCATGAACCATAGTATTTTGTGATTTTTTAAAACATTTTCGAAATTTTTATAGATATTTATATGAATTTTCATAAAACGTTTCTTATTTGGGATACCAAAGAGAGATGACTCTATAATTTTGGTTAAACTTGTGTTTTTCACTATAGAAATCAACGGAAAATATTTTTAAAACATCTTTCCTCCCCGTGAAACAAAAATTCCTTTTCACAGGTAATATGGACTGTCATTTAACATATATTTAGTAGGTAACTTGTTTATAGACAAAAAACGAACAAAATGTATTTTTCACAAATTTTAAAGCTATTTACAACTAAATAATTGTATTTTATTTATTTATATATGTTTTATTTATTTACGTAAAACATATAAACAGAAGAAAAAGATATGAGTATACATTTTCTGAATACATGTATTTAAAACTATTTCAAAATATGGTGTGTTAAGTAGTTTTTAATTTCACCAGAAAATATCGCCTACCCCCTTTTCTTCAGCTTGTAAAATTAATGATAATTTACTATCTAGCGCTGGAAATAAAATGATTAATCAATTACCATAGACCTGATCTTTGTATTAAACAAAGATTTGATGGCTAAATTGCCATTAAAATTGAATTTAATGGGTGCAAAATGTAGGCGGGAATCCAGAGTTAGAGTTCGTAGTTCTTTCATTCGTGGTCAGTACATACCCTTAGAACATATGCAATACAAGATGTGACAATAAGAAGTTGTAGATAAGACAACTTTATACTTTTCTGTCAGTGACCTTGAACTTGCCATGGTGACCTTGGTTGTCACAACACACCTTCATATCATAAACTTCTTACCATGCAACAACTTTTAACTATATAGCTTGCATTTGAGCGCCATATGAGTTGATATCTTACAATGATTTAAAAAAAAATTGATCCGTTAAGTCTTCATTAAATTGGCACTCCAATATACATTCAGTAATGTACATATTTTAAAACACCAAAACTTCTCCTCTGCTTTTAAGGGCTTGGAACCTTCTGCTTGAGGTAACATACAGATACATGCATGTTAATTCAAGCAGGCAGCATTAAAAGTTTTGTGCCTTTTAATTTTTTTCCTTTCAGTTACGTGTAATTAAGGTCTTCCTTCTTCAGCGGAAGACCTTTCTGTTATTCTTAGGTTTCTTTTTCACTTTTATTATTGTTTTTTTTCTTACCGATTTTGTGCACGCGATTTCTCGAAAACAGCTTGATGAATTTTCATGAAACTTTCAGGACTTATGTACCATCACTTGAACCTTATGCGTTTTTTTTCTTTTTTGATGACGTCACTTCCGGTCTGAGATATTGCCGATTTTATGAATTTTAAAGGGTCAGGTTGTCCAGAGTTTTTCTGGAAAATGGGTTAAAATAGAAACATGAAACTTTCAGATATGATAGACCTATGTCTGTAGATGTGCGTTTGGCATTTTGATTTTTCTGGAAATGCCGCACGTCGGCGCTTGCTATGGCCCGAAAATAGTCATGTCGTGAATTTCAAAATTTCTAACACATTTTCTTCGATATCTTTTAACCTAGAAATATTTTGTGAAAACATATAGAACAAAATAAGCGTGGAATTCCAAGATCTTTCAAATGATATCCCAAAAAAGGGGCTGGCCCCTAAAATTAAGGGCCTAGAGGGGCCGAAAGTTTTTTCTTTATTTCTCAAAACGTATTGAGAATTTGTAATACGTCAAAGAAGCAAAGTTGTTCAAAATGTCAAGCTCCATCTATAAGAATCGTCAAAAAACGTCCAGCGACGTCACTTCCGTCCAAACCGGTAGTGGTCGGAAAACGCGTTTTTTTTGCCGTTCTTGTCAAGCTTTTGGGTTACATATGTCTCTGGGAGAATAAAAAAGTTTTTCCGTCCGTCGTTTTCACTTCCGGTCAAACCGGAAGTAGCAAAACATGGCATATTTTGAAGGTTTTGATGCAAAATTGAAATTATAAAGTCACTGGAAACTACTCAGCTTATTACTTTCTTTTGTTTCGTCACTTCCGGCACTTCAGGTCAAAACCGGACGGAAGACCTACTCGTTGCTTTGCAACGAGCTTTGCTCTAGTTTGTTTCTCTGTTTGCTTTCTTCTGGTTTAGGGTTTTTGGTTGTTTCTTTTTTTGCTTCCTCTTTTTTTTGGTTTGTTATATATTTTTTTGGTTTTTGTTTTTTTTTTTTCTGGCACAATTAATTAAAACTTGCCAATGAGAAAATATAACTTATCACTTGTCATGATTTGAATGTGGAATCTTACGGCGCCGCTGAAGAGCCAGGTAAAAAAATATTTTTATTTGTTCGGACAAATAAGAAATTCGTTCGGACGAACTAGTTATTTGTTCCAGGGACCTATATACTAACGGGATAGGCAACTCCTTCATCGCCATGTTTATTTACCCAAAACATCACACACAACACTACAAGTTTTTCAAACTACGTTTATTCCCAGTAAACAGGGTGTTTTCTGATTAATGCCATTTATTCCTTTTATGTATAGGAATTGATTTATTGATAAATTTTAAGGCATAATAATAATATGATTTAAATATAAAGAAAACAAACACCGAAATCGGCGATTTCTTGGAAATATGGCCGATCGGGGCTTGTGCTAATTTTGCATAAAACGAAATTACTACTTAGATAAGGAGTATAATCCATGCTAAAAACAAATATTGAATGATTTTTTGACA